CATCATATTGGAGTAGTCATTCTGCTCAAACAATACCATGATCAAGCAACCGAAAGGGTGAAACAGCAAGATTAACTTTTGCTCCCCAGAAATGTACTTGATCTCTAGTAGAACAAATCTTCGCAAAAGAAAAGGGAAGGGGATAGCGGTACCTTGTTTGGAAATTTTCTATACAAGATCTCCTCAAGCCGCTTTGTCAGTACTGGCATATTATTCCACCACTCAGCTGATGTCGTCGGTTGCTTTCCTATATACTCGAATCTGCCGATTTAAGATTAAGAACAGTATAAAAAAAGTAAGTCATATATATGTTCTATCTGAAAAAATCAGTCACAAACCTAAACTTTGGGGTGCTTAAGAAGGTGATTCAACTAATTTCAAAATACAAAATGAAGTCAATAACTTAAATATCCTTAAGAATAGTCAAAACCTCAGTCCCATACCTTCTACAGGGTTCACAAAATCAGCCACATGCACTAAAAAATGCTGGGGTACAGGGGTTTTGTACTGGAATTCAACTAGTGTGAAAATTTATGTGCAACTCCTCATGAGAAGGGAAGACAATAACATGAGTAGTACTTACTAAGTACAATATATCTATATTCAGTAACATACATAAGTAGTACTAAGTGTAAAAACTCCGTTGTCGCCCTGGTCATCACGGAAATTAGGAAATAAGTATTGTGGAAAAAAATTTGATAACGGGCACACTTCAAAAACCTTGGATTCCATTCCCGAAAAAAAAATTGATTCCCTGTTTAGCAGTCCAGACAGCCACAAGTGCCAAGATGAAAAAACAGAGCAGAACTAGTCGTTCGGTTAGGCCGTCTCCGATGGTTCCCAAATAGCTAGTCTAGGAAGAATTCTATTGGCTATCAAAAAGAGAGATCAAATAGCTAGCGACTCCCAAATAGCTAGTCTAACACTATCTTCTACAAACAACTCTCTCACGTCTCACATAGCCCTGCACTAAAGTATTCATTTTTTATTATTTTTAAGTCTTGTCTAGCTAGCTACTCCCTCAGGGCGTCCTCAATGACCGGCTACGTCGCCAGCTTCGTCCGACGTGGAAGTATTAAACAATGAAAAAAGCATCTCTCTAGCAACGAGATAATCGGCAGGCTATTTCACTGGGATGGAGGAACTGTGAGAGCAGGATTTACGGCAACGCTCTGCAGGTGGGGATGAAGGAAATAAGATAATAATTTTCTCACTCTCTCACTTTCAGCTAAGCTAGTGAAATCGATCGTATCACTGGGACGCCCTTAGTCTCCAATTATCTGGAAATTCCCCACCAATCTCCTCCAATCCCTTCGGTTGGAGACTAACTGCGATCGGTGAAGTCAACACTGGAGAGTCCCAAATTAAAACTTTTTTTAAGACTGAAGGCTACAAATAAAAACTTACATCTTCTCGCGCATGATGGTGCGCAGCCTCACGAACTCCACATCTGGCTTTGTGTAGAAGCGCTCTAGCTTTGACATTGTGACAAAGCCAATGAGATCATCAGTATCGTTGGTCAGCTCTATTGAGTGTGATATCTTGAATTCTTCAAAGGGAATTTGTATTTCCAGCGGCTCAATCCCAAGGATGTCCTGCAAACAACAAGGACGCGTGAGATAACACACATGGTGTATCATGCAAATCTAGTGCTGTCTAGGTTTTGTTAGGGAGCATATATATGCCCTTACCTGGATTTGGGCTTGGCCATCTTTAGTATCTATTTCCTTCAGCTCATCGATTATATCTGATATATCAGGTCTGTTTTTCGGTTCATCTTGTGTGCATCTTAGGGCCAACTCCAGACATTTTGCCACTTGTTGGTAACCCAATGATGACTGTTCCATTGATTTAATCCACCGGTGATTCCACCTTCTAATTACCTGCCACACACACACCCCACCACCACCACCACCATAAAAAGCAAGAAAAAACCCAAAACAATTCTCATCTCTAGGAGGTTACCCAATCCCGCATTGGTGACACTTCATTACTTGGCCTCAAACTGCGACACAAGCATATCTCTATGATTCAAGGACATGCTAGCTCTGGCAGGACCATAGTTATGTACGTATTACCAATAGCTCATGAAATTCACAGCCACATATATATATTGGAAGATCTAATCATGCATGATTATGAAAAATGTACAAAGGTAATTAGACCGTTTGTCTTACTTTAGTAATATTGGGCTTCGTTCTACTTCCAGTCACCAGCACTATAATTATTACACCCAAACTATATATGTCTAACTTGCTAGTCGCTTTGCCTCCTAAAATGTATTCTGGAGCCGTATATCCTCTGCACAATAGTACAACAGTTTGATGCACATGACATAATAAAGAGTTTATACATATGAAAGAATTTGGAACTTACCGTGTTATGAGACGTGTAGTTGTAGCCTGTGAGTCACTTTCGAGTCTAGATAGACCAAAATCTGTAATTTTGGGCACCATGAGGTCATCTAGTAGTATATTGCCTGGTTTGAGATCCATGTGAATGATTTCCTTATCCTTGTGGAGATAATGCAGACCCCTGCAAATTCCGATAATTATTTGGTAGCATGTTTGCCATTCGAGTCCCCTCAATTCATCTGAAGAAATAAAAGATGAAAACATAGTGTTTTAGAAGGTGGTAGTCATCAATAATTGATTTATGATTACTAAATGTTGGTGCAAATCTATACCACACACCAAAAAACTCTTACATAAATATTACACAAAGATAACCTCACGGTGAACCCCGCAAAATCTAGCCTAGCTATTTTCTGAAACCGGCCTAGTGTGTTTGCATAAGGAACCCACGAAAACCTACAAACGCCTCTAGGAAGGATACATGTTTACTTTTGGTCAACATTGCAGAACATAGTATTGTGCTTACTTTTAACTTAACTGTTATAGGAGTGTGTAATTAAGAAATATATATACGGAGTCCTCATGGATATAAAATTATTTTCTTGATACCTTATATTAGTATTTATATGTAGGTGAGAAATATTTTTGTTTATTTCTTTAGGATGGAAGAGGTAGATAATTTAGATACAAATTAAAATATGTTACTTTTTATTTTCTTTCATAATGGCATATATGGGTAATCTGAATGTAAATGTAAGTATTACTTTGCATTATCTTTCATAATAGCAATTGTGATAATTTAAATGGTTATTAATGGGTTATTTTAAATTATATTTGATAATGGTAGAGATGAGTAATTTAGATATGAAGTTAGGGGGTTATTTTGAATTATCTTTCATAATTGAAGGGTGGGCAGTCTAGATGCAATTTTTCATAATGACAGAGATGGGTAATTTATATACAAATTTAGGGGATTGTTTTGAATTATCTTTCATAATTGCATAAATAGGTAATTTAGATGCAAAATTAGGTGGTTATTTTATGTATTTTTCATAATGTCAGATGTGAGTAATTATTTATAAAATAAATAGATATAATGGTTATTATTGATGATGATGATTAGAGTCTACCAATTAAAGGCTATATGTTTTTTTATTATTGTAGCAATTTTTTGGGTTTATCTTTTTTTCCTAACACGTTTAGTGAGAATTAACATAGAGCCTCTAACTAATAATAGTAAGATAATTTTTTCTATACAGTGAGGAAATTTGCAGGTCTGGTGGATAAAAAAAAACTAAATTAGCAAATGGCTTTTTAAGTGATCACTACAATGTGGTAATGTACCTGAAAGATGTTTGTCAAGGCTGCCATTTCTTATGTATTCAAAACAGAGCAACCTTTCTTGTATATCGGCCATTATAGTTGTTCCTCCCGATGGTATCAAAAGTTCTTTTGTAAAAGAACAGTAACCAAGAAATCGTACTATATTTGGGTGCTTAACCGAGATCAAGCTTATAACCTCCTGACAAAACATCTTGTCTTTAATTTTCCAAATATCATCCTTGAGTTTCTTCACAGCAACGACCCCATTTCAAAGGATGCCCTGTTTAAATCATCTTGTGAGCGCAACCATACACATTATATCAAATTTTTCTATGCAGTCAATAGTTAGAAAATTTGAAGGTCTGGTGGCATAAAAAAACTAAATTACCTTGTAAACAGTTCCACATCCGCCGCTACCAATTTCTTTCTTCTCAGCGAAATTTTCCGTGATGCTCTGTAGAAGTGCAAAATCTAGATCGCTTGGTTCCTCACTTTCATTAACTATGCGCTCTAGGATGTTGAGCTCCATATATCTGTCATGTATTAAAAATAAATAATGTGTTATGAATTTTAGACAAAGGAAAAATAGCTTTGATTATCGAATTGACCATAATTGCAATCAAGGACAACATTTGTTCAGTGTAAAAGCAATTGCTGATTGATTTTTGACTGGTAATGATATGGTGCATCAGTGCATCAACCAGTTGTGATGCATGGGGATGATGTGCCATTCTCTAATGGTGATCCTAGCATTACAACAATTGATGGAAACTCAATATTAGTAGTTTACTACTATATTACTACATTAATACTGCAATTTTGATAGGATAACCCCCAATTTTCCTATTTATATAAGACATTTTTCTTGTGACAATTAAGGAAGTAATTTCTTATTAATTATTGAAGCAAAATAAATTGTTTAGATTTTGAGCATTATAATAGAATACTAATTATCATATTCCTCAATTCAGGAGCTATGAAGTGCTAGCCTCTAGAGGGAGGAAGCCAGAGATAAGGATTAGATCAGCTTTCCATTGTGAACAAGGAATTTTTGCAGTTCATTTGCGATTTATGTGAGCACAACAAAAGAAAACTTTAGAGATTACAGATAAAATAAATACATAATTAATGAATTACTCCTGTTTTTTTTATGTATGACGTTGGCTAGCTCAAATTTGAACTAACCAATGCCATACATAGAGAAATTGAAGGGTGAAGCATATAACTTTTGTGAAATTCTGTACCTAACCGTGGCTGCCTCAAATCAAATCAGTAAAATATCACACAATCCATTTGTAGTAATCAAAAGTCACACATGCGTACCTGGAATCTTCATGAACTGTCTCTGTGTACAGTCCCTGGGATGTTTGCACAACCTGCATTTCCATTTATGAAAGATAACTCTGTATGTAGGCGGCCGCGGCTATCAACAAGTGTAAGTCGAGGATTTGTAAAAAAAAAAAAGTACCAGCAGCATAAGCAATAAGCCTGCGCTCATATATCGGTGCCTTTGACAGTGAAAGAAAAGGTTTCTGAAATAACAAGTTTATACGCTGAAAAGTATTGGTGCTAAAACAGTCACTTGATATACAGATCTAAACTGAAATTTAGCTCTCATTTTCATTCTCGTTATCAATCATACAAATGATATTCAGTTTCATTTTTCTAACTCGTGGTCCAAGTGGCTCACTGGTATATTATACATACTAATAAAGGAAACACTAGGGATGCATTTTTTTCCCCAATATGGATCAACAGAAATTTCATTCGCATTAACTCACTGGAACGTAGAGATTATATATATGTTAAACCTATCATCTCATGACACACACACAGGCCATTTAAGTTAAATAATCTAACAAGCCATGCTACAGAGGGGGTACGATCCCGGATACCCACGGCAGACCACATGGGCTGCGCCCCCAGGGGCGGCCCAACCCACGAGATGAAGCCTTGCGGGGCACGACTCTGCTCGGCGCCTCCCGCAAGATACTGGGAAGATATTTTGAAGATGCTACGAGATCTGTTAGGATACGTATGATCTCATGATTCTTATAATCTGTTATTACTTTTCGGTTATCTCTCAGATCTAACCGACTTATAACCCTGCCCCCCGGACTATATAAGGCCGGCAAGGACCCCCTCCAAACTCACGCAATATCATACGATAGCCAATACAATCCAACATACCACAGGAGTAGGGTATTACGTCATACTGACGGTCTAAACCTGTCTAACTCGTGTGTCTCTGTTGCCTTCTTGTTCTTGATTACACGTCTCTCTGTCGATCAGTGTACCTTCGTGGGATACCCTCGGAGGACTGCCGACGATATTCTGTCGACGGTTGGCGCGCCAGGTAGAGGTGTGCGTGCTGTTTCTATATCGAACAAGATGGTACGTTCCGCAGGATCTTCGGCCCTCCCGCAGCCCGGCTAGATCTTCACGGTCGGATTGATCTCATGGATCATCAACGCTGACGGAGTCGGAGAGCTCATCGAGCCGGTGCAGATCGATTCTGCGCCGATCACCCCAACACCTACGACTGCAGATCCGATCTCGGAACCGTCTCCGAGGTCGCCTTCATCGACAACTCGCCGTCCGCTTCCTCGCTACCAGAGGAGGCAGATCAACAATGACGATCTGATCGCATCCATCGATCAGGTTGGTCTGAAGCTCGCCGATTGCCTCTCTATCGCCGAATCGGCCATGGACACTCTCGTTCAGCACTGACCACCCTTCAATCCTGATCTATCAGAGGCTGCTCGAGAAACTCCAGGGGTTACGGCCCTACCCTTCGGGTTCACCAACATCGCCGCCACTTACCAAGATTCCCTAAGGGGCAGATTCGCCGACCAGGTTGGAGCTGTCCATCCTCACGCCGACCAGACCGCCGACCAGCCTCCGCCAGCCGTCAACATGCTGCACGTCGGCCGACGCCCTGGAGCATCCCTCCAAACCATCCTGGAGGAGAATCCAGACTCCGAGTCCCAGGGCTCTACGGAGACCGTCGCCGAAACCACCACCAAACTAGTTCCTCTTCCTCCTCTTCGTGGAGGCGCAATCTTCAACGTCAGCGTCGACAGCCGCCCTCGAAACAGCGAAACCGAGGAGGAACGCGCCGCTCGCAAGAACTGGAACGTCAACCGAGCACAGCGTCGAGCAAACGAGGTCGCCCTTGCGATGGCCGAGCAGCGGCTTGACTCGTAAGGAAGGCCACTCCAACGTAACCTCGACGACGAGTTTGTCCGTGTTGACGGCCACGACGTCTACAAGACTCCAAGCGCCAATCTGGCAATGGCCGCCAACGAGCTCGCCCGGCTCCCGCAGACACCAGAGGTCGCCAAGGTCGCCGCCATGCTTAAAGCGGCGCAATGTCAGGTCAATGAGATCCGCCAGGATTAGAGACTTTCATACTCCATAACCTCGATTCGCCGATCAGCCGCGCCAAGATCCGATCGCCGCCCAAGTCGCTTCACCGACCAACACCGCGACGACAGGCAACCCCTCTAGGGCGGAGCTAGAGGCAACCACATTGAACATCACCGCCAACATGACCAAGAGGTCGACCAGGACGTCCGAGTACACCTCAACAATCTTCGAGATGCACGACGACGTATCGACGAACGCCGCTTCGGTCGCCATGAAGAAGTACGCCGCCGCCAGGAGTACGAGCGAGAATACGGTAACCCGAACTCAGCTCTCAAGCCGCTCAACGCCGGTAACGCTGCAGACGATGGCGCCGACAACCCCGAAGGGCCCCCAGCATTCACGAGGGCGCTCCGAACACTTCAGTGGCCCCGTGGTTTTAAAATCACTAGGGTCGAGCCCTACGAGGGAAGGATGAATCCAACACAGTGGCTATAGGCTTACGCCACTGCTGTCCACGCCACCGGAGGAGACACCAGTGTCGTGGCGAACTATCTTCCCGTCATGCTCACGCCAACCGCCATGAACTGGTTCACAAGCCTTGCCTCGGACTCCACCGGATCCTGGAAAGAGCTAAAAAAAGTTTTCACCAATAATTATATGGCTACGTGTACTTGGCCGGGCACCAAGCATGATCTCAACCGCATCAATCAGAAGCCGTCCGAGCTCCTCCGTAGCTACATCAGACGCTTTTCTGAGATGAGGAATTCTATTCCCAACATCACAGAAGCTGAGGTCATCACCGCCTTCATCCGAGGACTCCACCGTGAGCTTCGCTCCAAGTTCAACCGCAAGCCGCCCACAGGGATTGGCGAAATGATCACGACCGCCAACCAGTACGCCGACGCCAAGGAAGCCGAGGTGCGCTTCAATGAGGATGCGGGCACCCATTGCCCGACTCGCCACTACGACGACCGCCCCGACGACAGACGCCACAACGACCGCCGCTACGACGATCGCAGTTACCATCGGGACAGCGGCCGTGATCGGCCAGAAGGATCCAAATCAGGTCAAAATCGCCGCCGCCGACCAGACCACATCGTCGCCGCTATTAATGAACCTCGTGCCAAGCGCAACAACGACAACAATACAAGAAGATCCTCGATGGCCCGTGCCCTCTCCACAAGAACGCTAAGCATAAGATGAAGGACTGCCTTGGCTTGGCTAAGGAGTTCTAGGACAAAAAACTAGACGACGACATCAACGACGGAGCGTGAGGTCACCGACCACCTGGGGGCAACAACAATGCGTTCCAGGATCACGACAAGGTGGTCACCACCATCTTCGGGGGCCTCGCCTCCACCGAGAGCAGAAGAGAACAGAAGCTCGCCGCTCGGCGGGTGCTCACCGTCACTACGGAAGACGCCGTCGCCAACTCCAGCTATCGCCCTTGGTCTGAGGTCCCCATCACCTTCAGCAGGGCCGACCAGTGGGCGGACATCCCGTACATAGGGCGTCTCCCCCTCGTCCTCGACGCAACCATCTAGAAAGTGCTTTTCAGAAAAGTGCTCGTCGATGGTGGGAGCGCTCTAAATCTCCTTTTCGCCAGAGCCCTAAAGGAGTTGGGCCTCGGGATAACAGATCTCACACCCTCAGACTCCTCCTTCTGGGGTCTGGTACCTAGTAGGGCATCCAAACCACTTGGAGAGATCACCCTACCAGTTCAGTTCGGCACGGCAAGCAACTACCGCGTCGAGCATATCAACTTCTACGTCACCGACTTCAACACCGCCTATCACGCCATACTTGGTCGGCCAGCTCTGGCCAATTTCATGGCTGTACCTCACTACACTTACCTAGTGCTGAAGATGCCTTCGCCTGCAGGAGTCCTGGCCTTGTGGGCTAACCTCTCCATCGCCTACGCCTGCGAGACAGAGAGTCTCATCATCGCCGAAGCCACCGACCTCTCCATCCAGATGGCCAGTGTGGTCACCGATGCTAAGACGGTGCCCACTGACAACCTGGAGATCCCATCGCTGGAGCCTCCTCGCGCCTCCACCAAGTCCAAGGAAACCAAGGAGGTCGGCCTCGGCCTCGACGACCCCTCCAAGACCGTGAAGATTGGGGCTCACCTCGACCCCAAATAGGAAAGCGCGCTCATCTCCTTCCTACGTGCCAACGCCGACATGTTTGCTTGGAAACCTACAGACATGCTGGGGGTACCGTAGGAGAAGATCGAGCACTCCTTGAATGTCTCGCCGACCGCCAAACCGATCAAGCAGAAACTCCGCCGATTCGCGCCAGACAAGAAGGAGGCTATTAGGGTAGAAATAAAATGGCTCCTAGCTGCCGGATTCATAAAAGAAGTATATCATCCTGAGTGGTTAGCAAACCCTGTTCTCGTTCAAAAAAAGAATAAAGAATGAAGAATGTGTGTTGATTACACTGAACTTAACAAACACTGCCCTAAAGACCCCTTCAGTCTACCTCGGATAGATGAGGTTGTAGACTCCACCACCGGCTGCGAACTGCTCTCCTTCCTCGATTGTTACTCTGGCTATCACCAGATCTCCCTCAAGGAAGAAGACCAGATCAAGACGTCATTCATCACGCCCTTCAGTGCGTACTGCTACACCACGTCCTTCGGACTCAAGAACACCGGGGCAACTTATCAAAGGGCCATCCAGATGTGCCTCGATCAACAGATCAGCCGCAATGTCGAAGCTTACATCGACAATGTGGTCATCAAGTCTAAGACCGCCGATGATCTTATCACCGACCTCGAAGAAACGTTCGCCAACCTAAAAAGGTACCGATGGAAGCTGAACCCTTTAAAGTGCATCTTTGGAGTTCCATCCGGTATACTGCTGGGCTACATCGTCAGCGCACATGGCATCGAACCCAACCCCGACAAGGTCTCCGCCATCACTAACATGAAACGACCAACATGCGTCAAGGATATACAGAAGCTTATAGGCTGCATGGCTGCTTTAAGCCGCTTCATATCGCGCCTCGG